CTAATTCTGTTAAACGATTAAACATTCCTACACCATTGCGATCTCCTAATACAGTTTTACGATATTGATAATATAATTTAGCCACATAATTATAATCAGGATTGCTAGATTGGTCTGCAAGCAATTCAAGTAATTCATTGTCATTTGAAGCATGAAGATGAAGTTCATCTTCATAAGTGTAGAGCGCTGACGCCGGGGAATGACCATCATTGAATAATTTTAAGCATTTTTCTCGCACATCATTATTTACACGTCGATAACTTAATGATTCTGCAGATTCTATAATATGGTTATGTGTAAATCTAATATTTATTTCTAATGGATGACTTTGTTCAAGATGCCATCTTTCCAATCTAAGGTGAATGTTTGCATCACTGTTTATGTTTAGTGCTCGGGCTGACTGAGGATTCTTGGTTTCACGATTACTTTGTTTTTTTTTAACTGTATTACTGTGGACACAATGTCGTTTTTTCCGGAAGAGTACTCGATTTCCCTTTACAGCAAAACCTTTGGTTTGTGGCATCGTTGTCTTTGAATGTAATTCAAAGGCTTGAAACCATTCTTGTGCCCTTTCTTTATTATTGACGTTTACAAATCCATCTAATTCTAATTGCAATATTTCGAAGTTTTCAGCAGTTTTATACAATGGCAATTCCTTAAAGTTTTTTATTATATATGTATATTGTTGAGGAAGTACGGGTTTTAATGGTTCTGGTAAAGCATTCCAGGTAAGTGCCTAAAATGAATTTAGGTTTTTAAAAAAACAATTTTAAAAAGTATACATTTAATAAAAGACGATTTTTTTTTAAAAAAATAATATTTTTTAAAAAAAGTTTTTTTTTTAAAAAAAAAGTATCCATATATTTATTTATTGTTTTATTTTTTAAAAAAAAGGCCCGTTCAGAAAAAGATTCATATGGAATTAATTATTTTGTTAAAAAAAATAAGTCGTAATTTTTGCTAATTCCTTATACGCACCATTTTACGAATCCTTATACGTATAACAATAATAAAAGTATGCAATGTTACGATGGGGGTAGGTCAATGTACCGATTTGGTTTAATTGTTAAACGAAAAAGAAGTTACTTAAAAAGAAAAAATTATTCTTTTATATTTCGATTTGAACCTAATTTTAATTACGTACGCAGTACGTAAGTAATTCAAGTTTGCATAATTAATTAAAGTCATTTGTGAAGTTTAATGTTATCGTAATTAGATTGGTTAGACCGGAGATAGTGATCGGACTGATCGGTACTACTGTGGCTTGTACGCCACCAACCTGGCACACATTCAAGAATTGCTTGAATTATTAATAATTACGTATCATTACGTATCAATATATCGTATCGTATTATTATTAATATAAAGAAAAAAAAAACTATAAATTATATTTCGCTACAATCGGGCCTAAGAATATTGATATTTAATTACAGCTATTTTTATAAATTCTGGGACATCTGGCAAAAAATTGACCGACCAAATATTTGCTAATTCAATAAGTTTTGATTTGGCAGTGACATCGCCGAAATCCCAAACGGCAAATATTCGGTCTGTCAACTTTTTGTCAGATGTCCCAGAATTTATGAAAACAGCTGTAACCTTATCACTAACACTAAATCATCAGGAAATTGGAGATTTTTGCCCATATGCCGGAGAAACTTCATAAATTCTGAGGCACTTGATAAAAATTTGCCAAATGATTTTTTAGCTGATGAATTGTTTTTCGGCAATGATCTGTATATAACGTTACATGTAAGTTAATTTTATCATTATAATGTAGGTGTAGACTATTATTATATATATTAATTCTTACTTTATATCATAAAATAACGTACCTGATCCAAAGTAAATCCCACACATAGTGTGATGAATTAAAACTAATATAAATAATTTCAGTTTTAATCAGCACATCATGTGTGGGATTCACTTTGGATCAGGTACGTTTTCTCCTGTTTTTGCAAATATATTTTTGACTTTGAACCAATAAAGTCAAAAAAGACGGATCATTACGGCGAATTTATGAAATATCCCAAAATTTGAAAATTTTGACCACTAAGTAAATAATAATGATTTTTGACCGAAATAACTACTGTCCCAGGGTGAGGGTGCGTCATTATAATAAATTTATATGTCTAATAAGGTGGGGAAGATGGGTTAGACGCATTATCAATCAGGATTAGAGGTCCAAAAAATGCTTTCGGGGTTTAGCATTAATTTATTTATATGTTATTTGGTAACTAAAATTTAAAATCGGGGACCAAATACTCAGATTTATTAACCGAATTTTAGCTTAATTTCATAAATTCGCCATAATGTTGCTCTGGAAATCAAATAAAATAGTAATGCTGTAATAATTTGGCAGTACCGTAACCTCTGAGTTGACTAATATTCCAATTGAACCAAGGGGTTCAACAAATATTTAAACTTCCTATTTGGCTCGAGATCACAGTACTGCGCCATTACTATTTCATGGGATAACGGTAAAAAAACTTAAATTTAAATTGCGATACGTCATACTTTATTTAAAGTATATGACGTATCGCACTTTAAAAAATTAACTCTATTATTTATTGTTATTTAAATGTATATGACGTATCGCACTTTAAATTTATTAAATATAATGTGCAATATGTCATATACTACTGATAAAAAAATAACGTTATCTATTTAACGTTATTTAATTAACGTTATCTATTTAACGTTATTTAATTAACGTTATTTATTTAACATTAAATAAATAACGTTAAATAAATAACGTTATTTATTTAACGTTAATGTTAAATGATTAACGTTATTAATTTAACGTTATCTATTTAACGTTAATCATTTAACATTAACGTTAAATTAAATTATATAAATAATATACGCTACTTCGTAGTGTATATTATGTAAATGGAAACCTGCTACGCAGGTTCCCATATAGCATTTGAGATTACATCGCAGGTTCCCAAATTGCATTTTTGTCCGTGACGAACAATCGCGCTTTAGTATTAGAAACAACAACGTTGTTGTCGATAATCATACAGGCAATATGACTAATTAAAGTATCAGGGGATTCTATGACTAACGATGAGTAATTCATACTCATTTGCATAACTATGACTTTAGTTCCCACCATTCAATATCAGAGACGCCTTACTATTGTTCTCGCATCGCCTCGATCCAAACCCGAATTAGCATTATTAAATGTCTTCACTTTTGTCGATCAATAAGCATTCAGGTCCCGATTGGGTCACGTTTTCGGGTGACTGCGGCTAGGTCACATTTTACCGTCACAACGTTAAACTACCTTTTACGATCTTTTCATAGCGAAAGTCTCAACCTTTATAATAGGAGATCCCAAAGTCAACCAAAATATGCGCTTGAAGTTACAGAAAACAAATTTGTCGTACTGGCCGATATTACAAAAAAAACCTTCAAAAATATTTTGGCTTTTCAATTTATTATGTTTGCCTTTATCCTGTGAAAAAAAGCAACGGTAACTTCTCCATGCTTTTTTTAAAGTCTAATCTTTTATTTATTTATTTAAGTTTTGTTTTGATTAATTCTTACATAATTACTATTATTAGATGGTACCCCATTGACGTAATTAGATTAGAATTGGTAGAAGATAAAGACCTAAAAGTTATCAATTCTTTCCCTATAGTTGTAAATATATTTTATTCTGACAAAAAAATTTAAAATTGCTATTATGTTAACATGATTCATCTTATTCAAATTAAATCATCAGTTAAATCAATTAATCTAATCAATTAGGAAAATTCGACCCTTATGTTAGAGAATTTTATGCAGGTAATAATAAAGATACAATATCGCTCAAACAAAGGTCATGGACGACGACTTGAATCCAGTGTGGAACGAAATTCGCTATCTTCCTATTAGATGTCTTGGCAATAAATTCATTTTGAAAGTGATGAATTTTAACATCTTTATAAAGGATAGATCGCTTGGAAATTGCCATCTTAAAGTTACTCGTGAATAGTTACTCGTAATTTGACAAAGAAGTTTCTGAGGATGTTTATAACGGCATCAACGTGTAATTTTAATTTATTTATTAATAAAAAACTTTAATGTTAAGTTATTATACTAAATAATTATATTTTAGCTGGATAAAACTTAATACGCAAGGACAGATTCATTTCAATGCCAAATTCTTCCCGTCGGAATTTCTTCTAAAATCTACTTGCCAATCTTAATGTGAATCCTTTTGATCGTTCAACGTTTTATGTCCTTATCGCTTTACTTCAGATAGTGGTTTCCTTCCTTCTGATAAATTAGCCAATCTATTTGGTTATGAATATCAGGAACGACTTTTAGAATTGTATAAACTTTAATGCCGTGAGGATCGAATAATCCTACTGCATGGACCGCTAGCATGTTCTTATGGTTCTTACGTATTTATTAAAGGATTACAAAAGTGAATGAGCTGGTGTTTATGAACTTGCTGAACAGTACATCAGCAAAGTAATTTAGAAGTCGAATAGACTGTGATTATTATCAACTTTGGCCGCCGCCATGGATGTAAATCATAGGAACTACATCAAGCAGTGGGCAAAAACGTCATAGATGGATAGAGTTGGAGTTATCATATCTGGTAAAAAGCTTCTTTGAAAAGATTTAATATTAAAATTGATCATGGTCTGCGCTATTTATTTATCTATTCTTATTCTATTTAACTTAAAAATAGACCCTAAAACTAAACGAATTACTCGAGAAACTATCTCAATCACACATATTAAACGTATTCTTAGATGTTAGCAATATGCTAGTGTATATCAAATTGCTGATGATATTGCAAATTTCCTCGGTTATTGAATATTGAAAACTTCGTGCATTACTCATTAAATATAAAACTAATCACTCCAAATCACAACAAATCTCTCAAGTTAGTCTCCGAACCTGGATGACAATACTTATGCTTTATTTCTATCGTTGTTCCAAGTAGAGAATGGTTCACAACCAATGAAAGTCTTATAAATGGATATGGGCCCAATTAAAGATTAATGAATCCATTGAACAAGAGTATTTTCAAATGATAAATCATTTGTCAGGGAATTCCATGGCGTAAAGGATGATGTGTTGGAATTAAATCGTGCTTTCAAAGGTGAAATATCCGAATCGATAGACTTTGTTAAATATCCACCAAATAAGCGATGAATCGGTAATAAATATTTAATTTTTTCCCCTCTTATTTAATGCTAGCGATGATAAATTTTATAAAGTTCCTTGTGGTATCGTACGTATCAAAATTATGTTTTAGGTGGGGCCTACGATACGTATGTTATTCTAAACCTCAGACTTGTAGTCTGGATTTCTAAAATTAGTTATCGAATTATTATTATATTTTTAAACTTTTTCAATGAAATATGATTGAATAAAAGCAATGAAGTTTCGAAAATCCTGGGATTGTCAAATTTTGTGCCATTACTTAGCTAGCCTTATCAAAGTCCTAAAGTGATTCAGTAATTCTTTATATTTATCATGAATTTAAACCACGATAATAGTCAAGTAAATTTCATATGAATTCAGTTGGATGTGAAATTCTGTCAATTCACAAATATGTATTATCATTTATTAATGCAATTATAAGCTTATATATTATTAACATATATGCTAACTGAATTGTATTATAAATATTGTTCATAATTTAAAGCAATTTGAAAATAGATTAATTATTACTAATGAAGATACCAAATCAAAAAAAAAAGTAGAACATTAACATTATCAATATATCAAGACATATCTTTAAATTTTGCAAAAGAAATTGAAAGCAAAAATATTTTTCACAAGTGCTAATTAGAATAGAGCTTTCATTTTACTAAGTTTTCAAGTACTAACATTTATATCAAATAACAACTGCAAATTTTTATTATATAGATCTTTTTAACCAACAATAAACATATGAGATAAAAAATTTTTAGTCAGCTACGTTAAATTGTATAATAAAAATAGTTGAAATTTATGCAAAGATTGGATAGATAATGAAATTAAAGCTACTCATTCCTTCTTTTAAAAATAAGCTCAACCGGATACAGACTCATTTGATTCTTGAATTTTAATTCGTTTTTATGTATGCTATTTTGCGGCAATGATATTTCATATTTACGTACTATAAAGTTTATATTATACAAATAAGTACTGTATTTAAATAAAGAAATTCATTTAATTGAAATTAAAATACATACATAACAAACACAACACTATCCTCTGTTCAATAAGAGAAAAGTTATTTCCTAGGCACCTATTTAAAAAAAAATAATTTAGTTATTATCGCAAAGTTAAAAATTAAGACAAATGTAAAAAATTCAACCAACATTCTTGATCCACCACCAAAGGCTATCCAAGAATAATTATCATGTTCAGTTTCAAACCTCTCAGGCAAAAACTCCTCTGGATTTTCCCAAAGCTTTGTAGAATGATGTATCCCATAGATAAAGAGACTAATGGGAGTGCCAGCCGGAAGCAAAAAATTCTTATACTTTAAGTCTTCAGTTAATGCACGTAATGGTAAACCTCCAGCCTATTTATTAAATCGTAAAAATAAAATTATAAGTGATAGAATTACTTATTTTAAGCATATTAAGATCATACTAACTGGAGGATATAATCTAAGATTTTCACGAATAACCATATTCAAATACTTTAATGACGTATGCTGTTCTATTGATGGTGTTAGATTATCGCCAAGTATTTCTAAAACTTCTTTTCGAGCTTTTTCTTGAACATCCTACATAAATAAAATTATGAATATTTAATAGTTTAAGAAATATAATATTAATAATGAATATACTATACTTTATGAATTGCTAAAAGATATAAAAGAGATGATAAAGCCAGTGAAGCTAAATTTATATAAAAAAAAAATTATTATATTGTATGGATAAAAATAAATTGCTTTCCTAAAATCAATGCAATATTTACTTGTATCATGACCTGCAAGCATAAAAATGGCTAAATTATGCTATTAAAATGAAAATATTATAATTAATTTTACTATTTAGATTATCATAGAACTTGGATCCATTATCCATTGAATACAAGTCAGAAATTCGTTAAATTTAATATGAAATAGATAGTGAATCCAAGCTCTAAATTATAGCAATAAAAGTTTAAAAATCTCTTACTCGTAATTCAGCATCTGATAACATTTGATTATCTTGATCTTCGCAAGCATTTAACATCAATTCTAAAAGATCACCATTAGATCGTCCAGCAGCTACAGATTTACGTTTTTCCTTAATAATTTCTTCAAATAAATTATTTAATCTATCAATTTTTTTAAATGCTAATTGTCTTAAGCCCGGAATGCTGTCAATTTGGAAAATACTAAAAAAAGGACTTTTAAACATATCCTGAACGGCATTATATGATGTTACGTAGACATTATTCGGGTCTTCAAGATTCTAATTAGAAATTTTGTTAAAAAATTACAAATTATCTAATATTTACGAATCGTTATATTTATTCTTACATTAAAATCAAAATCAAAGGCAACTTTTCCAAGAACGTCTAAAGTAAATCTATGAATTTTGAATAAGTAAATTTTAATGAACTAATATAAATTATATAAAAGACTGTAAAGAATTTTTAGCAATTTTTTATTACCTTTGCATGAGAGTTGTAGCTTCAATAGGTTTATTATCGACCTTTTCTAAAACATCCATCAATTTTAATCCCATTTCAACAAAAAGATGCACTGGTAAAGTTTTAAAGGCAGGGTTACAGACACGTCTAAATAAATTTTATATTAGAATGAATAACAATGTTGTAATGAACGGAGATGTAAAAAAAAAAACCTGTGTCGCTTCCAAACCTAAAAAACAAAATATAATGAAAATTTTGTTATAAAATACTTAAACAATAAAATGGCAAAAATAAGACTTACATCACCATTTGAGTGAAGAACATTAACACCAAAATACCGTTCAGCCGCAGAATTTGGTAAAACCTCATCGAACATTAACTTAGGATAAGCATCTATGAAATAATTTAAAGCAACTCATATCAGTAAATAGAATTTTTAATATGTACAATATATCGAATGGTTCACAACCTACCAGCTCGTAAGCATAAATCCTTAGCAATTACCGGATCAGTTATCATGCAAATCCATTTTCCTCTAAAATAAAGCTATAAATATAAAAAAAAACATAATAGGCATTTTATTTATTTTAGAAATTTTAATTTTTACAATTTATATGGCAGTAAATTTACCTTTACAATGCCATCCTTTTCAAAATATTCTTTACAGCGTAAATAAAGCTTATCACCTCCTGCTTGATTCGTAATTATCGATAATATTAAACTAAAGAATGTGATCGAATGAATATTTTTAAGTGCATCTGGAGCTTTAGGATTTATATAATTGTAAATTATTAATAGAATAGGCACGATCGCTAGGAAAGCTATGAAATTCATATAACCCATATTTAATTTTTTTTAAAAAAAATGTAGAATATTTAACAAACAACCTGATACTGTATTTATATTTTTTTTCACAGTTTATCATTTGAGTGACGTCAAGGAAAAAGGCACTCTAATCATATAAATTTTATACGATGAAAGTGCCTATTCTCTTGACATCACTTATTTATGTAATGCATAATTGCATAATGAATGGACTCAACGAGCATTAGCATCTTATAACCGGAAACTATTTCTTGCTTTTAAAGTTATTTGTAGTACATGCTTACTTATCTACATCGTATACGTACTTTATCAAGCGTGCTCAAATTCCGATTATTTTCCTTTTAGAGGGATCGTCTAAAGCCAGTGTTACCTAGGGCAAATCGAAGATTTTTTGAATCTACTGCGCAGGCTGCGCAGCCTGCACAGTCTGCATAGCCCCGATCCCTCTAGGAGTCTAGGGTTCATGATTACTATATATAAAACATCTACTTTGTATGTATAAAGTTAGGCTCCAATTATTTTTTATTAGTACTTCAAGGTAAGTTTAGACATCAGCGTTTTTTTCACTTGTAGATCCTTCACATAAATTGACAATTTTTTAAAACTCTTAGCGAAACTTTCTCACAACCACCTGATAAATTTCGATAAAGATTTTTATTCGAATTCTACTAGTTTGTAGAATTCAGATAAAAAAAGGTTTCATGGAAATTTATCAGGTTATTGTCAAGGAAACTTAGTTCAAAGTTTAAAAAGTTTAGACGAGCTTTTTCAAATCTTTAAGCAAAACTTTCTCAACAACACCTGATAAATTTCGATGAAAATTTTTTTTATTAAATTCTACATGTTTGTAAAATTCAAAAAAAAAAAAAATTTCATCGAAATTATCAGGTGATTGCCGGGAAAACTTAATTCGATGTTTTAAAAAAATTTAGGCGGGACTCCTTTATAGACGAAGTTTTTTAAATCTTTGAGCGAAGCTTTCTAACCAACCATCTGATCAATTTCGAAGAATTCTTTTTATTCGGATTCTATAAGTCTGTAAAATTCGAATACAAAAGTTTTGTCAAAATTAATCAGATAGTTGTCAAGAAAACTTCAATCAGGATTTATGAAGGATCATGTGACTCAGCAATCGTTAATAATTCTGGTCAGATTATTTGCCCAGATCTAAAACAAACCAATTTTACTGCTACTTTCATAATTCCTGGAACACCTGATAAAAATTGACCGAATGATTTTTCGGCCGATCCGGTTAAGT